CCGGGCTGGGGCCACGCAGGCCGGAGGCCCCCGCGCCCTCGGCCCCAGCGCGGAAGCGAACCCGCGCCCTCTATCCGGAGGCGAGGCTCGGAGGTACTGGAGGGGGGCTGAGGGAGTCGGGCTCTTCTTTCCCCCCTTTTGTGCCAGGGGACCTGGGAGTGGACCCTGGGGCACCAGTTGTTTATGAAAGTGGGGGTCTGGATTATGTATTTACACGAGTAATTTTTTTCCGGGTGACTTGGGGGTTGGCTGTGCTCCCCTCCTCCTCGCGAAGTTGTTTTCTGCTGGTGGGTTGTCGTAACCCGATCCACGCTGTGTGTGTGTGTGTGTGTGTGTGTGCGCGCGCGCGTGTGTGTGTGCACGTTGGTGGGGGGCGTCAGGGAGTTGGGGGCCACAGGCGAACCATCCCACGCTGGCGCCTGCTGTGACCGATGTTTGCGGTGTCTGGAGGGGCTGCCTCCGAAGCCAGTTTTGTTGAAGTCGTAAAAGTTTTGCGAGTGTTTCTATTTGACATCATCAGCGGTGCTGGGGCAGGAACTGCTGAGGCTGCCGCTGCTGAGCGGGGAGAGAGGTCCCTGGCGGCGCGACCGGAGGAGAGGGGAGGTCGTCGGGCTGTGCTCGTCGACACCGTGCGCTCCTCCCCAAAGCGCACCGCCCTCTGCGCCTTTGTGCAGGCTGCAGCCACGCTTTGGCACCCGCGGAGCTGGGGTCAGTAGAGTCACTGCCACCAGTCCCCATGAGCTGGAGTGGGTGGAAACCGTGGCGAGCCGAGCACCCCCAGCCCCGGACACACTAGTGGTTATGAAATCAACCAGGCTCAAAGTTTTGACAGAACTGCCCGGATCTTGAGAGCTGCGGGTGAGTGGGGTAGCGGCGTGTCAGGGGAGAGGGTGCTGGCCGCGCGTGCAGGGTGCCGGGCAGGGTCACCACTCCCGGGCGCGTAGGGGAGTCTAATTTGGGGCGAGTGCTTTATATATAACCGGAGTGGGGGACGCCTTCTCGGGCCGGGCTGCGGGAGTTGGTAACTTGGCTCCGGGTTCGTGTGCTGAATGGGTGTACGTGAGCACTGTGTGTGCGCGCTCGTGTGTGTGCGCCTGGGGAGGCGTGTCGGCGCCTGAGCCAGTAGGGTGTGCAGGGTGGGAGGAGGAGGCCAGAGAGGTGCCGCCCGCCCGTTTGTGCAGCCAGGAGACCTTGGAAGGGACAGGGAAAGGTAACGGGAGGCCAGAGGGTTGGGAAGTCGCAACCCTGCGTAGGATTTAAATACCACGGACTTTAAAACACTAACTAAACCCGTTGCCTTTGAGGAGCTGAGGGCTAGAGGTGAAGGTTCCTCAAGCTCTCAGGAGACTTGCAGAGGAGGACGAGGGTTCGAAGACGTGTGTATGTGTAGGCACAGGACCCTGGAGGCCCACACCCAACTTGGAGCTGTGGATCTGAGATTCCCGGGGTGCTGCTGTGCACACTCCAGAGACTACATGGTCTCCGTGATGTTTACCTTTAGAATCCCTGGCATGTGTGCCTGGGAAGGCACCCGTCTCTCCTCAGACATGTTGTGGCAGCTGTGCCCTAAGCGATTGGTGTTCTAGGCTAGTTTCCACCTGGGTCACCCTGTAAATCCTTTTCTCTGGAGTGCCAAGGTATATAGACCTTGGAGGTAACTAGTAGGAAACATTTTCCAGAAATTAAGACGCTGGATAGAAACAAAATAAAATAATTTAGTAGACAGGACTGTTGGTTCCATCTTTTCTGTGATTGGGGATTTGTTTCCTTTTGAGAAAAGCAAAGCTTGGTGTTCCCAGGTTAGATTTCAAGGGGGGCTCTGGTTTCTCTTCAGATGGACTTTAGATGGAGCTGGAAGGATGTGTTTTCACCCAGACACCCTTGGAAAAAACATAGTTTGAGTTGAAGCACTGCCCATCCCTTATCTCCTTCCACACTTGTAAACTTTTGATTCACATAAGTCTAAGGAAAGTTGGTAAGTCAACATTCAGCTTTTCATTTGGAGTAAATATATCACAGTGAAATTATAGTTTAGGTCTACTGAATGTCATGGAAAGCCAACACTTAATAGGCAAAGGTGTGAAATAAAAGTCTGTAAATGCAGTGACAAAGTGATGACTCCAGTGTATTTTTTTTTCAAACCGGGCATAACTTTGTCTTGCAAATATTTGTTCTAGGCAGAATTTGGGGTTGTGTTTTTGATTATTTGTGTGTAAACAGCAGACTCCACATCATAAACCACTTAGAATGGATACTAGACATCTTCTCCATGCTATCTCTGGTGCTTGTGTTAACAGATGTTTACGGTGCTTGGTAACCTATGGGATTGTCATGTGCAGTGTCTTGTTAGGTCAGGACATAATGTTTATAGCAGAATGTAATAAATGGAGCCCCAGTTGCAGCCTGCTTCTGCCAAGTGCATGAAACACCCCAGCATGGAAACAAACCTTGAAGTTGGTCCAACTTGGCAAGTCTTTTCTGGCTATCTGCTGGTAAGCATTGTTAATGTAAAGATAAATCTGAGTGATACAGTGAGAATGTGGCACAGCAAATTGCTTAACTTAGAAAAACAGGCATGGATTATATTGATTAAATCTGCTATCCTGAAGATTAAGCTTCTCTGGTCATTCTGCTAATAAATTGCACAATTATGGAGATTTGGTTAGTTTTAGAGAACAATTAAAAACATGTCAGTAATGAAAATAACTTAGTGTGTTTACATATGTCCATAAAAACCCTCCCTTTTTTTTAAAAAAAAAGAGAAAACTCTATAATCTCTATGGTAGTTATTTAAATAATATGAGATTTCAAATCATCTAATCACTTTCTGAATATTGAATAGATAAGAATTGAAGTTTGGGGTGCTTGGATGCCTCAGCCGGTTAAGTGTTTGACTTCAGCTCTCTGCTCAGGTCATGATTTCCCAGAGTGGGTTTGAGCCCACCTCAGGTTCTCTGCTGTCAGTACAGAGCCCACTTTGGATCCTCGGTCTCCCTCTCTATCTTCCCTGCCCCCACTCATGCGCACGCACGCTCTCTCTCTCTCAAAAGTAAATAAACGGAAAAAAATGAGTTGAAGTTTGGTAAGGCTTTGGAGTTAGCCCTCTGTTCATTGTGGAAACAAAACAATGTAGGATGTCTTCTTGGCAAGTCATTTTTTTTTTTTGGACCTTGGGCAATATAATATCAATGATGTGCCCAATAAAATGGTTGGTGAGTACGAGCCAACTTCAGAGGTACCTATCATAGGGATGAGCTTCCACTTCAGTAGCCCTTTCTATAAGTGGGCCAGCCCACCTCTTCTTGAAAATAATCAGAGGGGGGAATCTTGCTTCTGTCCACTGGCCTGTCCATTCTAGGAGAGATTCATTTTTAGAAAGTTCTGCTTTGCACTAAATCAACATTTTCTTCTACCTATTGACCTACTGTTCAGTTGCTGGAGCAACACACAATGAATCTAATCTCTCTTCCTTTTAAGTGCTGTGTTTGAAAACAAACATTATGCCCCTTCTTCCTGAATACCTTTTTTTTTTTTTTTGCTTATTCTTGCAGCTATTCTCACCCACAGTGGGGTCCCACCCTTCCCTGCCCTGACCAATATGCCCTAGAGTCCGCATTTATGCTGCCCCTTATCATGGTTGTCATCTCAAACACAGATATGAAATCCTTAGTTCTAGACTTTCTGTATCCATTAAGGCAGGTTAATCTTCATGTACTATTTTAGCCATCTCATTACACTGTTCACTAATTTCAAACCTGTAAACAAGATAACAATTTAGTCTTTTCAGATTATTAGTCATCCATAGTCGAAACATTATAATTGTTTCAAAATATTTTTAAACTGTACTTCAATAATAAAAAAATTTTCTTTTCATGCCTGAACTTCCTATAAATCTATGGAAAGTGTCTTACTGTGCAGGTGTATAGAATTCTACATGCAATGAAAATGGCTGCTTAATTTCTCCCTGTCAAGGAACACCAAGCCAAAAAAAAAAAAAAAAAAAAAAAAACAGACGTAGAATGTTCTGGAGACAAGCAGATTGAAGTTGCATATCATGGACAGGTAGGGACTACGAGGTATTATTTTCCTGGACCTTATTGTGTCTGCTTCCACAAGCATGAGTCAGTACTAGTAATCAGGCATTTACTGATGGCTCATTCTGTCCAAGTCAGACTGTATGCCATCTGGCCCTAAATGAGGTAAAAGTACAACTGACAGAAATGCTTCCTTCGGCAATTGGGATTTAAGATGTACATACAGGACATGACTGAGTCAGCAACCTCTTCTTCCCCTGGAGGTAAATGGCTTGTG